CGATGGCCACACAACAGGCACTGGGGTATGAAGGTGAGGTCGTTCCACCAATCAGTTTCGGCGATACGAGTGTTGCTGCTTATGCCACACATCCGAAGGCAGGCAAGTTGGTCCGATTGAAGGCAATAGCGAAGAATATCACTAATCATCTCTCCAACCTTGATGCCAGGCAGCTGCAACTCTTCATCGAGTCAACACCAAACATTGATGAAGTGATTACCTGCCTCGGTAAAGACATGATTGAAGTCATCATCTCCAAGGTACCAAATATCAATGACCTGCTGCCGAACTTGAAGCCCACGACGATTGGCAAAATTGCCTCTAACTTGTGCGCCGAAATACTTAGAACCGTGGAGGTGAAACCACATGGCATGTGCGATGGATATGGCTATGGTTGGCAAGAGATGGGCGACAGAGAGGACAATGCAGCTCCAACCAACGTGAGTGGCATGCAAAGCTACAACCATCCTGCACATCCGATTGTGAGCAGTGGGCATGGCCATCACTCTGACCCGATGATGACACGCCTGTCACACTATTATCACCCTGTGGATTCACAGTCTCAAGTGTCAAGCACTCCCACTTCCGTGTCCACCCTCGATCCACGTGCTCTCCAATCAATCCTCATAAACATGACCAACCTCAATCAACTTCTAATGTCAGTGGATCCAATGCTTCTTCAATCTGCTCTGAAAGGCGTGTCTGGGGAAGGTCATGTATTTTCTGCCATAAACCCACATGCATTGCATTCGTTGCTGGCGCGCCTTCCACACCTCAGCCATATGCTCGCACACGCGGAACCAACCCTTCTCCACTCCCTATTAGCTGAGGCACCCAACATCCATGCTGTTTTGCGTGCTGTCAATCCACACATTACTCAATCCATGTTGCCAGATATGCCCAAGCAGTTACCCGTAGTGGTGGAGCATGATGCTACGAAGGCAGGACTTGCTACTGAGGTGCCTAATCCACCAAGTCCAATGGATCCCACGGTTGCGCATGCAATTTTCTCAACCCTGCCAAATATTCCCCCTCAGTACGCCAATGCTTTGTTCAATATGGAGCCTCGCTTTGTTCAATACATAATGCAGAACCATCACAACCTCCACAGTCTTGTAGACAATATGGACGCCCAGACGCTACAGTACGTGGCTGCGCATGTTCCTCAATTTGGCACAATTCTCTCCAAGCTGCATCCTAGCACATTGGAAGTTGTTCTCGGCAAACTGCCCAACACCGACAAACACTTGGCAGACACAAACACCGAGGTAGTGCGAGCTACTGTGTCGGAATTGGCTTCGCTCGCTAAATACGCGCATCTACTGCCCACTGTCACTACTCCGTCAAAGGTGCCATCACACTGGCCTGAGATGGGAGAGCAGTGTGAAGAGGAGGAGGAGGTGCCAATGGCAACGGTAATGGCAACTGCAACTGAGGTGCCTATACTCACAGACGAGGAGCTTGGAATGGTGAGGTCGGAATTACAGCTGGTTGATGAGTTACTGCAGTTGGTGGTTCCGAGGAAACTGACTGCTCTGCGTGTATTAATGCCCAAGTTGCCACAAATCTTAAATGAGTTGGGTGTGACGGGACTAGAAAACACCAACCCACCCTCATCACAATTTAAAGGCCAACTGCAGGCATCAAAAGATGTACAAATTGGTCAAGGTGTGGGTTATGTGCTTCAGCCGAAGCCGACCTGCACTGGATCACGTCTGTCCAAATTGACGGACAATCTGCACACTCTGAAAGATGTGTCGATTGATCAACCCATGGATATGCTGCTTTCCACGCAGCCGGATTGCACTGCATCACCCCTATCCACATGGAAAGGCAACCTGGCTAGAGTGCAGGACGTACTCATTGAGGGACTTCTTGAGAAGCTGGAACTTGGTGGCGCTATGCCTTCCATTTTCGGTTAGCTCTGTTGATTCCACAATATCGAGAGCAGTGTAGCGTTAGCCATTCACCCTCGGCAGTAATCCTGTCCCCTAGTTCATGTGCCCTGTGATTCGACGAGCTTCATGCAAGACTGCAATAAAGCATCACTGCACAGAATACAGCAGTGTCTTTTTGTTTTGTGGAATGAATAGGGCATTGATTGGAGATGGAATGTTCTGCGTAGGTAGCTCGTGCCTTTACAAATGGGAAATTCGATGTTGGAAAAATCGAAGCAGTCGTCATAGGATAAGCAACTATGGAATCGCTCAATTTAAAATACTTTACTGCTCCTCAGATCTATTACTCTTTCATCAGTTGATTCGTCGATGTGTCTTGTCTACTCACTGGATCTATGCTCTCGACTTGTTAGGGCAATGAGAAAATTGGCTTCTAATTTGCTTGCATCTACGAAGCCTTAGTTAAAGTGTATAAATCCACAGAACC